ATACATTCAGATAAATATACATTGGGCCAATTTTATGGGACATTTTTAAAGGTGTGAAAGTTTTTATTTAATGTATGTGGGCCACCTATTACGACATGGAAAAATAGGCGCATTGGACCGAAATATGGGTTAATTATTAATGTCCAAAAATTTAATAGTATTGGGCCAAAATTAAATTAGTGTCAGAGTTTGTTTGGTTGTCATGTTGTGATGGTCTCTATGATTATTGTGAGTGTTCTTTTACTTTACAACTGTTTTTAATAATTAAAGATAATACTAATTGTTTACAGTATTACTAGAAACAATTTTTTTATATATATTTTGTTAATTTATATTTTAAATTTACTGTTGATTTGTTTTTAATGATATGTTCAATAATAAAATTGACTTTTATTGATTTTTTAGAAATATAATGAGTCATCGCCCATCGTAATGACTAATACGAAAAAGCAACAAAAACTGGTACGTAATTTTTTGAAGGTTCAAGGATAATCACCCTTATATACGAAAATCATTTTTTATTAGTATAAATGATTCTACATATAATATATTAAATTATAGACTAGAGCTAATATGTTCGAGTTTAACGTGATGACTTAAAAACAACCTGATTACAAGAAATAGATCTAACTCTATTATTTTTTAAGCCTAAACGGACATGTCTTATTAAAATGACTCATTTAACATATCTGACCCGTGCATCGCACGGGATACGTACTAGTGTAATATAATATAACATGAATATAGTATACTATATAGTATCATAATAGTATCACATACTATATCGTAATGTAATATAGTATAACATAGATGTTATAATAAAAAATATAGTAGATAATATAACATATAGTAAAACATAGTATATAGTAATGTAATGTAACATAGTATATTATATACTATATACTAAATAGTATAACATAATATATAGTAATGTAATATAATATAATATAGTATATATATTATATACTGTATACTATATAGTATAACATAGTATATATTATATATACTTTATACTATATACTATATAATATATTTTAGATTATTATAAGTAATAGACTAATATTATATTATATTAACATAGTATGTTATATACTATATTTTAAATAGTATAACATAGTATATAGAAATGTAATATATTTTAGATTATTTTAAGTAATAGACTAATATTATATAGTATATAATAGTATTCAATTGGACTAATCTCGGTCAATTATAGTGTAATCGAGTTCAATTAGTATAACATAGTATATATTATATTTCAATTTATAATATATGTATATGTATACAATTTGTGCATAAATAAGTGGAAAGTGTCTGCCGGCACAATGGTACGAGGTGCGCCCAGAGAAACCGGACTCGCCCACAGACTCGTGTTCGAGTCCCCAATCTGGGATTCTCGTATCATTTTTTTTATTGGAAACTGCATTTTTTTTATTGGAAAC